AGAGTAGAGGTAGATATGTTTTGTTTAAAGTGCAGAGTGTACTGATTATTGTGATGGTTATTGCACATTGATTAATTTCACATGGTTGTAGTCAAGTTCTGTCAGTGGAGTGAGTTGAGGGGGTGGGAGCAGAGTTCAAAGTTTTATTCAATAGTCTGATGGCCACACGGACTTTTCAAAATAAAACGAAGAGGTACAAAACCCTTAAATTAATTATTCAGAGCTAGAAATAATGATAAAATAATAAATGTCTTGATACCTCCCACTTGGCCGATTGATCAAAGATCCAAAGAGGCCACAATTAACAGTCATTTGAGTCTCTCAGTAGGTATCTCAAACATAAAGGTTAGGTGTTCCTCATTGGTCCAAAATGAACACAAAAGCTAACTAAGGACGTAGGCACCACCACCTTTCCTTCTACTGAGTGTAGGTCTGCCCTCTAATCACTCAGTTGCCTTTCCAGGCAGTGGCAGTTTTAGGCATGGGCAAACCGGCCAGCCGCCCGGGGCGCCATTTTTTCAGGTTACGTGGGGGGCGGCACAAGCACTTTAAAAAAAAAAAATCAGCCGCGCCGCAAAACGGTTTTCTATTGTCTATCATGTCACAGTGTGTGGGAAATTGGCAAATTGGCGCCCCCTGCAGCTGCTGCAGGTGCCACTGCTTGCTGAGAATGTCCCGCATGGTGCACAGAAGCTGTGTGAGAAGGGGAGAGGCAGGCGGGGAACAGTTCACCTCTGGGTCTCCCAAGTCTCCCAAAGCTCGGAGGGGGTCTCGCCCAGGGAGTAACTCAATGTAGAAACGCCACTGCTCCCAGGCTTACTTACTAACTAGACAACAAAGTCTCTTGGGTAACCCTTTGCAAGGACTTATCCTACTTCTGTTGGTCCTCAACTGGAATCAAGACCACCAGCCTTCGCACATCCCTGCGAAGGACAATGGTCGTGGGCAACTCAGAGTTTTCTCTCTGGACCCTGGATACATGGGGGCCGGGAAGTCCCATGCAGATTTCCAAGTCCACGTCCCGGACGGTCCCTTTCTTATCAGGATATGTAGCGACAACTCGGCCGAGCTGTCCTCTCAAAGTATTTTGGTTTTGCTAACCAGACCATATCTCCAACCTTGTTGCTTCTCTCCGCTCTGTGCCACTTGTGCCGGATGAACAAGTTTGGACCTGCCAGCTCACTCCACTTTGACCAGAACTTGTCCACTCCAGCCTGGACAGCCCTCAGCCTCCGCCAAGGGTGGGTTTTCACGTCGATTCCGTGCATGTCTCCTCCTTGTCCGGTGCGTCCCAGGATAAGGGAGTTAGGAGTCAAATACTCCACTGTGTCTTCCTGCTCCTGCGCTATGGCTTCAATGGGTCGATCGTTAGTCAAGTTAACTGCCGAGTAAAGAATGGTTTGGAACTCCCCCCAGGTTTAGCAGCTAGTTTTTCCACAAAGGCTGTGAAGAGCTCTTTTAATGAGCTTAACCACTGACTCGACTGCTCCACTTCTGTGAGGCGCGTAGTTGGTAACTTAAATTGTGCAGAAGACCATTAAACCAAAGGGATATTCATCATCATATTCTAAAATAAAAAAGCCAAAAAACCTCATCCCTAGTCTTCAGACAGGTACTTGTGGTGGGCATTTACTGACTGAAGCCCAGCAACCATGGAGAGAAACCCTAACCCTAACCCTTTGAATTTCCCTATGGGGATTAATAAAGTATTTCTTATTCGGATTCTGATTCTGATAAACCCTGGATGTGATCCAGAGCCAGTTGCTCTAACAACTTTCTCTGCCACACTACAGAATACACCCTGCAACAGATTATCTAGTACAGCCTAACCCAGCCAAAAGATGCCACACCAAACCAATTTTGTTCACTATTTGTACTAAAATTGTTTAGCCTAAAACTGGATAAGAATAATGCTCCCCAAATTAAGAAAACACCATAGCATGTGTGATAATCAACAAAAGTAGCACAAAACAATACTACAAAAATGTGGCTTGACGAGCCTCCATTTTGTCAAGAACTGGCTCAAAGGAAGGACAAAACTGGAGACCACACAACTCTTTAAAGTAAAAAAATAATTTATTCAAGTACATTAAATTAGAAATATTTACTTCAGTTTATCAGTTATGTTTGTAGTGTGTGGATGTGTGAATATGTTAATATTGATGTAACTATACCAAATACCTAACAACCCAAATCAAACCAAACCAACCAACCAAACAACCTTGGAAGGAGAGAGAGTGTATGCTAAGGCATCCATATGTAGCAGGATGAAATGCTTCATCCCTGCTTAATGAGTCAGTCTTAGTGCTCAGGCCTTGTTAGCCAATAGGCCACTTTATAAAAGGGAGATAGTGTCTATCTTGCTTCCTCTTTGCTCTTTGGCACAGAGCACCGCCTACTTCTGTGTCACCTTGTTTGCTTCCTCCACCGGTGCAGGTAGGATAGCATCAGCTGTAATTGCTTTCATGGGAAGTTAGCCATTCAATGCACATTCACGTGTGGTGTGTCTGGCTCATGATGACCGCTGGCCACTGTTAGTGTGTGAGCATGGTGATCTCCTCTCCCTCATGTGTCCGCAGGGACACAGTCTAATCGGTATGTATGCCTTACAGTGATTTTGTTACCATCTTCCTCTCACTCAACATTAAGTTAATATTTATTTGGTCTGTTTTGTGTGACAGGAACCGTGGGCCAGGTATGTTCAGCTCATAATTGATGACAGAAACACTGCTGTTTTGCCTCCTTTGGATGTTTTACCTCTTCGTATTTGTTTTGCTTAACTGCTTTTGCTCAGCTGATTGTTGCCTCGCTGCCTTCGCCTCGCCGCTTCTGATGCTTTGTTTCCACCCCATGGCTTTTCTGGCCTCACCTACCCCTGCCTGTTTTGCCTTCACAGCGTGGAGACCTGAACATAGCTGCACAGTTGGCTAAGCTTTTGAGTCCCTTTTAGCTTGGGTCACTTGTTAAATGTTTGTGTGGACTGTAGGCTTACTTCCCTTCTTTTGTCCTGAATTGTTTGAGTTTCCCATTATTTGAATTGTTTATTCCATTTATTTAGCTTTTTATCATTTGTTCATTTAATTGAATTAATATTAACTAATTTTCATTTGAGATTCCTTTTTGTTTGCTGTTATTGAATTAGTTGCATTATGTTCCATTTTGGGATACTGATATTATTGTATTTTCGGTTTATTTATTTTATGTTAATTGAATATCGAACCTAGTTTAGCCGTGTCAAGTGCCTGCCCTATTCCCATGACTGATTGTTTAATTTTGATATTCTTTTCAGAGTAATTCAATTATATTGTAACCTGGTGGCTGCCAACCCCATAGGTTTTGCGTTGTGTTTATTTGTACATTAGTTAATTTATTTTGCCTGTTACCCTACTGACTGTGTACCCTTATCCATTTCAGTTGCTGAGAGCCAAATGTGTTGGTGTCCCCCCCCCCATTTGTGTGTTTACATTTACATTTAGGTAATTTAGCAGACGCTTTTGTCCAAAGCGACTTACAATAAATACATTTGTCACAAGAGAGAAACCACAACATATCACTGTCAATGGGGTAAAACGAAATATAGAAACAATTGTCAAGCCCTCATCTGAGGATCGTAACTGCTATTTGTGTGTTTGCTCCCCCTGGTTTTCTTCGCAATGTATGAGTGCGAGTGGTCTTCACGTGTGACTGGGGTGAATTCTTATTTTGGTTTTTGGGATCCCTAATCCCTTGTTAACCCTCAGCACCTGATTAGCTCCTGATCAGGACCCTCTTTCCCCACGTCCGTGTGTGACTAGATTTTACTGCCTTTTAAGACCTGCTATAATAATTCTATTTTGTTCAAAAGAACCACGTATCTTGCCTCAGTATAACAAACCTGAATGCCTTGGTATAGGTATAGAATTTTATACATCAGCACTTGAGCTGGGGTGCAATGATGCACTAAAGGCTATAATTGGACTGACCACTGTCATGGTGTGCACCCTGGCTGCTGTGTAATTAGCTGCTTTCAGACGTACGCTGGTCTCCACAGTTCTTCTGTATTTTCTCTGGAGGAGGTGATGTGTGAACCCAAATGTCCGAGTAGTACGCCTTGCAGTTTCTACTGACTTTATCCACCTGGCCTCCTAATAAATGCTGCAGGCGCAAAAATGAAAAAACTAAAAGAACAAATACCTCCCTTGTGAAAAAGAGAGTTTGTTGTGATAAAAGCTGACAGGTTCAGGGTTCTATAAACAAAATCATGTGATCTATGGAGCAGAGTTAATACATCACTCCCTGCCTTTGCCTAGTGCACCCTGCTGCTCCACCTCTTATAATAATATGAATAATGCGGAGGATGGTGCTGTGTGTGCAGAGAACCTCTCAGTGTGTTGTGATTGAGTGAAATTAAAATCTTTCTAAAACCAACTTTGCTTTAAATAAATGTGAATTTAATTGAAAGCAGCCTTCTTAAGTGTAATATGTTACCACAATCTCCAATAGAGGTGGAGTGGAATGTTCATGTGGGTGCAGGTCTCTAAATTGGAGAAAATAATTACTTTGGGTGGGTGATTGGCGGATGAGTCAAGCATACGTAAAGATTTGGATGTTGTCAGAGCTGTGTGTATGTGTGGCAACACAAGGGCGTAATGTGTGAATTAGGGCAGTGTAAAGGTTTTAAATTTAGTTTGCCAGACAACGCCACCCTGGGAGTTTCACCCAGGGAAATATTCTAAATATAACAATACACCAAATAATAACAACTGGCCAACCGAGCCATCAGCCGAGCCATCAGTGTCAGGTGAAGCAAAAGACAGTCGAAGTAAAAGGGAGCAAAGCAAAACAAAGCAGCGCAAAGCAGCACAAAGCAGAGCAGTGCAAAGCAGAGCAGTGCAAAGCAGAGCAGTGCAAAGCAGAGCAGTGCAAAAACAGTGCAACGCAAAACAGCGCAACGCAAAACAGCACAACGCAAAACAGCGCAACGCAAAGCAGCGCA